AAACAATACACGAATGATCTTCTTCAGGATGTCATTGCCAGTTTGGAGCTGCTCAAACCTGACCCGGATCGACCTCTACCTCCGGAGGTGAAGAGGCAAAGAACCGGACATCAGCTTGACAAGAAGTATGAATTTCAGCCTGCCAGAGACTCGATCGACGGCACTCCCACATGCAGTCACTGTATGAAGATTCTTGCTTCTTTCTTCAGCCTCCGGAATCACATTGAGAATGGTTGTAAGGCATTCCATCCAGATCGTCCACCTGGAGTTCATGTTCCCTTCACGTGGCAAAGGCTCCGCAACATGTCACTGCAGCATGATGTTGACACCATCGTGACATCCCTGAGTTCCAAGCTGCGCTGCGGACCTGCTGTGTGTTGTGGAAGACAATCCAGGAAGCCAGGTGGCATCTCACAGCATCTTGCTCAAGATCACGCCGCCCTTTTACATATGGCCAAGCCCCTGGAGGACAGATATGTCAATGCTGCAATCGCTAGCGGCCGTGCTTGTCTTTGTGGCAATGCATACACCAAGCGTGGTCATCGATGTATGGTATATACACAATTGGCCATCCTTCATACTGCGCTACAATCACAGCAAGAGCCTTCCCTTGCCCTATCCTCGGAAGCTCAGGAGCCCAGCATTGCAGAGCGAGCTCAAATGTTCTGGCAGCCGGAATGGAGTACCTGGCTCAGCAGCCACTGCAGTGTTTGCAAGATTGAATGTGCACCACATCTCATGGAAGAGCACCACCGTACTCATCATGATCAACTGATCCAACCAGCCCTGGAGCTGTATGACAATTGTGTGAGCCCCACTCCTTGGTGCTGCAATCACTGCTGGCTCACAGAAGGGGTTGTGGAGACGTGTCCACTTACGCTGAACATTGCTGTGAAGCCCGCGTGCCATGCCACAGCTCGACCTGTCAGTGGACGACCTGATGGGGCAGATCTCCGACACCTTCGGGGGTCTGATCGAATCAAGACCGGTCCAACCTCTGAAAAGACCGAAACACGAGCTCGAAAGGGAATCGAACGATTCTTACGACCAGCTCCCAAGGGTGGTTCAACTTCTGACCACTCTGGTCTTGAGGCACGAAAGCCAACTTCAGGCCCTGGCAGCGCAGGACACGTTCATCCTGTTCTTTCAACCGGGGCGGCCAGTATCCTCCCGCAGATCCAGCAAGCCACACAACAGTGGAAACAGCTGATGGAAAAGCACGAGACCACCCAATCGCTCCGCCTGTGTCTGGTGATGCTGATTGCACAGACCTTGTTGGACAGGATGCTCAAGATTGCCCAGGCCTCCACGACCTCAGAAATCAGGCAAGAAGCAGTGAAGCCTCTGATCCTTACCGAACATGGGGGTTGGAACTTCCTGACCTGGAATGCCAAGGAGAAGCGCATGCAGCCCACCGATCGAACTCCCATTTCGATGACCAGCATGCAAAGCATGTTGGAGGAGCTGGTAGAGCTGATTCGGGACCCGCAAGCGGTGGTCCGGTTCAAGTGCCTCAAAGCCTCGGACTTGGACTCGAAGCTGGTGAAGGTCATGCCGTGGATGTTGCAAATAAACATGCGTCACCATGGCTTCACGAACTCCTGCAGACGCTATCGACTTCTGCGGTGTGGAACCTCATGCTGGGAAGACTGAGGCCTCGCGCGATCCGAGAGAACCCATTGGCACAGATTTGGTGAAGACATCCAATGGCCTTTTCCGAAAGAGGACATCGCAGGGTGGCTCATTGCGGTAAGGCTTGGAAATGACAGCAACGTTTGCTAGCAGAACTCCACCATGGTGGCCTTCCTATGGGCTGTATGTCAGCTACATGAGCCCTGCTGGAATGACTTCGGACCTGGAGCTGAGAAGATAGCAGATTTGTTCCGGCAGGAAAGCGTGTGGGTAACGCTGCGCGCCATTCCTGCCTTCGAAAGCTTTTTGAAATCGTGGGGACCTGACCAGCATGACATTGGTGAGTTCCATTTCAAATTTTTGTCTTGGCTTCAGCCAAGATGTGTCAATCTGGAGTGGAAGCGGCTTGTACAGGAAGGGGCTCAGGTCCTAGTTCGGGACTACAATCCACCCACACTTCAGGCTCCTCAGACTGCTCAAAAAGTTGGACTTCAGGAGCTCATTGATGAATGGTCGAATTATTTGGGCATGCAGACCACCTTCACTGCGCATGACCAGATTTGTCTTGAACGACCAAGGTCATGCAGCGCGCAGCTTCCATGAGCTCGACCTCAACGAGCAGATTTGGCCCCCCTACCAGGATGAGCACCAGCTCGGAGTTCGACACCATCCGTACACCATAGTTTCAGCCATCAGACACAGAGGGGCTGATGGTGCATGCCATTTTCGGGCCCTGGGCAGATCTGCAACGGGTTGGGTTCAGTTTGAGGACCTCAAAGAGGCAGTTGTTTTGGACTCCCATGCACCTCACACCACGGAATGGGTGATCATCTGGCTTATCAGGGAGAATGCTGTTGATTTTTGCCTCTGGAAGGGATGCCTCCTGGGTACAGACATCTTCCCAAGGCAGCTTCAAGAAGAGCACACCTGCCATGGACGTATGTTTGAAGAGTATCCACAGGACCTCCTGGAAAGACTAAGGTGTCACTGCAGCATTTGTGGCAAGCTAGTCATCGACCATGATGGCTTGTGCAAGCGCATCAAGCTAAGGCACCCTGAACACCAAGGTGTGCTTGATCGTGACTTGACCACTCAGGTTCAGATCCAACATAGCACCCTGCCCTGTCATGCATGTGGAGCACGACCCAATCTTCTCCACCGTCCGCTGCAACTGGCGCATAAATGCTTAGCGGAATTGAACCTGCAGCTTGCTCTTCGCCACCACCAAATGGTCCAGATTCCACAAAGCCCTGGCTTCACTCCTGGGCGCCTTGCTGCTGATGAGAGAGAATCCGAATTAGGCGTGTTTTTGACCGGCAGTTGAATATGATTGGTTGTGAGCCCTCGCCAAAGGCGATCGAGCTCCTAGGTCAGCATGCCAGTGGTTGATTGCAGTTGATTTGACTTTGGTTGCCCATAGCCCTGGTGTTCTCCCTGCGGGATGTGAACCCGGTTGTTGCTGTAGCAGCCCCTGCTTCAGGTACAGATAAAGCCTGCTCAAGTGTTCCGTGAATGAGCACTAAGCACACTCGGAAGTTTTGTGTTGTGTGTGGCACCGCCTTTTTAGTTGGGCGCCTGAGGGATTCTACTGGATTCCGGGGTCTCTGAGATCCTGCCGATCTTCTCCTCTCTGTGCCAAAGAGGTTTTTGCGGAGAGGAGGTTGTTTTTTGATGTTTAAGGTGGTGTGACTGGCCAGATGGCCCTAAAGCGCACTCCGGTGCTAGACTGATCCTGTTCGATCAGCCGGGACACCCGATCCCGAGCCCCGCAGTCTCATGACAGCATGAGAGCGATGGAAACTGAAAAAACTATCTATCTATCTATCTATCCAACTAACTATCTATCTACCTACCTATCTATCTATTTGTCTGTCTGTCTGTCTGTCTGTTTGTCTATCTATCTATCTACCTATCTATCTGTTTATATGTTTTATATCTATCTATCTCTATCTCTATATCTACCCATCAATCCAGCCATCCATCCATCCCTTACTGACGTATTGACTTACTGACTGACTGACTTACATACTTACTTACTTACTTACTTACTTACTTCCCTACTTCCTTACTTACTTCCTTACTCAGTTCCTTTATTTCTTACTTACTTTACTTACTTTACTTCCTTACTTTACTTACTTTACTT